AGTGTTTTTATTCTTGACTTATTTTATAGTTACGAATAAGAGATTAAGTATGCGCATTTCAATACGGCTAATTGTTATTGTTTACTATTTCTTACTTTGAACACAAGTTTTAAGAAATGTGAGATTTGAATAATTTAGAAGAATATGCGTTTTTTATATTTTTTTAATTATTTTTTTAGTTACAATTGTTACTTGGGTATTTTACAATTTGTTAATTTGTTAAGCTTTAGTTTTTTTACACAATCCCTTTGATGTTGATGGTTTGCTCTGCATTCAATTTAGAGATAAAATTTTTATTGTAAAAAACACGTTGTTTGACACTTCCAAAATTCTAGCAAAACACAGGAAAATTCTGATCCTTAAAATTGGTACATTTAAAAACAAAATTCATATGATATTTTGCGGGGCATATAGCCGCACAGGTTCACTAGTAATTGAATAAACTAAAGTAGGTCCAAAGAATTTCCTTTGGAGTGTTGGATTTTTTTAGCAATTATCTTTTACTGCAAACACTAAAGATATTGCAATCCACTTGATCCAGTCATTAACATTTATTTTAATATTATATATTTTAATAAACATATTTTTACTTATTTCAATTCTTTATAACTCATATTTTTTTATTTAACACAATCATACCAAACATTTTCAGAACTTTGATTACGCTATTAAATACATTCATTGGTAAAAAACTGCTTAGACTGTGATTAGCTTACTTTTCTTTTAAAATACTTTTTGTAAACATATTTCTTAATAAGCGAGTCACATATACACTGTAAGCTTACATTGATTAATGTAAGTCAAAGTTTCTTCTACAGGTATTAATCAATAGGTTGGCTACTAGATAAACCACCTCTATTTGTATTGCTGGAACTTCTGTGTAGTGATTCGCAAGTTCAGTTGAATATCATCCAGATTCATGCTAATGTACCTAAACTAGTTTTGACATAATGTTTTGGTCATTACATACTGATTAGCTTAAGTATATAGTGGTTGGGTGGTGAAAGAGGGTTTCCGCTTTAGAAAAATGTATTAAAAACTATTATTGTTTACTGAATTAAGTCCTGTTGAGAAAAATCGCAAACTTCTAAGTAAGATTTATTTTCGTAAACAACATCTATTCGGCTAAGCCAATTATTTTACTTTACATGTCAGTATTGTTTTTGTTGTAAATGATCTATATTGTCTTGTTCAAAATGGTTTGTTATGTAGTTTTCGTTGTTAATAGTCTATTTATGATTGTTTTTGTTGTTAAATTGTCTATTTATATTGTTTTTCGTGCAAAATGCCCGTTTAGCTGTCACGTCCTGTAAATCATGTATATTTATTCATCAAAACTGTGTTCTTATCGTATTTCATATTATTATATTTCATATTATTTATTAGTATTTCATACTTGTTAAATATTTAATTATTGATCGCACTTAACTATTTCACAACAAATTTTTATTAATCTCAACTCAACTCTCTTGTAAAATGGCGTTTGCCGTGTATTTAAAAAATAAAAAAATAAATAAATAAGTAAATAAATAAATTATTAATCCTGTTTAAGAAATACTATGTAATATTAGATGAAGTGTTTACTATAAGTGATCATTTTATTACTTACCGTTGTAAATGTGAACGATAAAAATCTAGAGTCAATAAGATTTAATTTTACGCAGTTAGTCACACCTGTTCCGGAATTTTATTTTCAGAACATTATCCGAATTCAATCTGTTTTGAGAAATATGCACTTTATTCTTTAATTGATTTGTCATGATTAATTTTAATTAGTTGTCATATTAGATTGAAATTAATTACGTTACAGCTAGTTGTCCATTTGTTAATACACATACGTTATAGCTTACGTTATATCAATGCGTAACCAAGTTTGTAAACTAATATTAGTATTGGTTTAAAAAATAAATCCATAAGAGAGTTGCTTATTCCCCTTAAACAAAGATCGAGAAATATATACAAAATTTACTGGACAAAGCTTATGTATGTCCGTTCATAGTAACAAACATACGGTGTGTTAAAAAACGAAAAGTAAATAAATGAAACGTCTTTATAACGCTTAAACTGTTTCTCACAAGACGTAAATATACAAAAAAGATGCTAAGTGGTGATCGATTTCGATTGGACACTCCAATCATCATCAGACCCAATAGGCGAATGACCAATTGTCGGCTCACTATTTTTTTTAACCAACATAGATTTGATACAGTGCTACAGTTTTGTATCTTGATATTAATAATAAAAACCCACCTTTTTAAGCAACTATCAATTTCCCTCTCTTCCAGGAGAACGGCTTACAACGAGTAAGAAGAAGATCTTTAACGTAAGCTTAGGTTTATATGTGCGTAAAATTAAAGGTATTCACTAGTAAAATACAATTCCACAAATTTAAACTCAAACGGACTACCGAGTCAACAATTACAGCTATTCAAAGATGCGTTGAATTTGCATTGCTATCGTAAGCTACCTCCTCAGGGAGGGGCCTCTAGAAGTCGGAAGAAAATCATAAACATATACATATGTCAATATACACATCAAATTAAAGGTCTTATTAGAATACATATATTAAGGTATGCTAGTTATAAGAATACAATGCCACATATTTGAACTCAAAATAACAACTGAATAAAAATAACAGCCATTCAAAGATTCAAAATGGCAGTTTCAAGATATATTTGAACGGCTGCAATTTTTCACTCGGTTGTTTGAGTAACAATTTGCGGCATTGTATTTTACTAGTAAATACCTTTTCTACGTTTATATCAACCTATAATAGCATTGAGGATTTTCTTAATTCTTCTTCTTACCTTGTGGGCCGTCCCCCTGGAGAAGAGGAAAACTGATAATTGATTAAAAAGGTAGATTTTTATAATAAATATCTAGATACAAAACTGTACCACTGCATACATCTATGTTGGTTAATAAATATTTAGCCGTTACGGGAAATTTTTAACACACTGTATATTATATAATTATATTAAAACGTACTTTTTAACTATGCCAACCAGGTTTGGAGTAAGTGAGCTAAGTAAATATGTAGTAAGTAGATACTAAGAAAGTAATAGCTAAGTAAATACATAGCTCAGATGTAAATAAAATACTAACAATGGATTGGTTTTATGAAGTGAGTTATCCAATACAGAAAAATTAATTGTCCTCGCTTAAGATGCTTACAACTAGCGTTGTTAAAATAGGCGTGCAGCAGTTCAAGGTCGGTCCCGAACCACAGGGACACAAAATTATCACAAAACTAAGCATCACAGGTTATTTGTGGGTTATTTACCAACGTTCCTGGCACAGAAAGAAGTCTAACAACTGTACCAGCACTTTCCTCAAATGCATGTATTGTTTTGATGCTACCTATATGCGTTTTTCTACGATCTTCATTCTCCTACATTATCTATTTTCTCACCAATTAACGTTTAGGTAATTAGGTATTAAGGTAGTTAAAGACTCGATTTCATAACAATGGGTGCACATTATGTTAGACGACATGTCTAAGAAAGGTATTAAAAAATTCACAACTTATATTTTTGGCTACCGAATAAATTTTATCTTTAAGTAATCGCACTCAATGACCTCAACTGTGTTTTGCTTAAATATTATGTTACACACTTAAATCTAAGGTTGAGTTTACTTTGGGTGAAAAAACTTTCCTCCGTCGAGAGAACATCCTCACTTTCCGTTTAGATCGACCAGCTGAAATGAAAGTACAACACGCCAATCGTACCAACCTGCTCGATTACAAATACCAATCTGCGATAGAAATACAAGTGTTTCGTTCGTTGAATTGCGTTTCTATTAAAATGGAATTTCAAAAGTTACTAGCCAATATGCTTACTGCTATAGCATTACAATAATATATTTACCTTTTTAAATAGCTATGTAATTATAACTATTATTTCTACTTTATTTTAATTTTATATTATGTATCGTTAAGAAAGATTCGTTTGTAAAAAAGAATTTAGTCTTGGTTATCTCCTTTTACTAAAAAGAAAGTTTAATTTCTTGCTTATAGTAGTGTACCTACATAAAGTTGAAGGTGAAAAACTTTAGAAAAATGATTTCTTACAATAATTATTTTATTATTTAATCTCAGTTAACTAAATTTCGTATATTTTTTACCCAACTTTATTCATCCATACAAAATTCAAAGTATAGTTATTTTTCTATAATGTAACGAAATTGTAAACACATTAACCATGGTCTATTTTGATAATAGTCCCAAGAAAATGTACTACTCTATGAGTACTTTAGCCCACTCATTACTTCACATATATATCAAAACAAAATTAATTGTGATTCTAATAAATTAAACGAACAACTAATCTTCCTCTTTACGATCCTTTAAAATGTTTAAAACCTTACTTTCTATGACTAATGTCATTAGTTTTATAAATACTAGATGAGCTCACACGGCATTCTATTAATGCGTTGGTTTTATTAGTAAAGGCATTTGATTGCATAAATTATTATGTAGTTATGTATGTTTTGAAAATTCAAAAGTTTATGAAATTGATTGGAATGAGAGGAGTGACAGTCTTACAGTCCTATAAATTAAAACAAACAAAAAATAGTACATTTCGTTATTGTGGGTTTTTAAATGATAAAAACCATAAAGCAAAGTATTTGTTTCTTTTAGAAAGAAGAAACAATTCATCTTCAATGTTAAAAGCCTTGCATTACAATTTGTGTTATATATCTAAACAATGTGCTAATTGCACCTAATGTATACATTATTGGCCTACATACATGCTCCATAATACGTTATCCAAATTATCTTGAAAGGAACTTAAAACACGCGTGTTCACGCATATTTACACCTTACCCATATTTTTGAATCCATTATGGCAAGCATTGACAATCAACGAATCAGTCCATATTAGTGAAATTGTGGAATCCTTTGTTTCAATTTGTTAACCACACATCAAAAAATACTCCTAGTTTTTGTGATTAAATCTTAAGCCGTAAACTAGCATAGCTTAAAACAAATGTCTTACCTTTCAAAACCATTTTCCCGTAGCTCAATCCTAACGGTTTATCCCAAATCGTCCCCATTGCACAGTTTTTGAACGCAACACAATTTACGAATTACAGTTAACCACTTATTTCATACATATTTTATTATGTGGAATATCAAAACATTTATTAGTGAACACAGAGAAAGTTTGAGAGTAAAATCCAATAGTTATCGATAGTTCTAAGATGACGAAGAATTTAGAGATGAGAGGTGCGATAGTGGTTGGACGAGAGCGACGCCGATACTGAAGTGTGCGCGTCGTCACGTGTTGGCGCGTGCGTGCGTCGCGACGCCAGGCGTCATCATCGTCATCAATCACCACCTCTCTACACGGTGGCGTCGCTGATCAACAGCTGATCACCAGCTGATCATTAAAAGGTCACGTGTAAAGCGCGGGAGTCATCAATAAGATGGATATATAGAGTAGCCTGCGTGTTTAAACATTGTGCCGCAAGGTGTAAATGGTTGATTTTATAATGATTGTTCTTTTATGAACTGAAAAAAAATAAACAAAAAAAAATAGCATAGATAGCTAAACTTACGTTTGTCAGCAGGTGTCACATATAGTTATGTTTTAAAGATTCTTTCAGCTCATCTTCAGTAGCATTCATTGATTTAAAATCAATACAGTTAGGTTGTTAAAATAATCTGATAAACTTTCAGCTGCCTGAAAAGTCTTCAAAATGGGTGTGGACTTAACTTTCTTTGTTATTTTCGTCTTATAAATGTTACTTTCACGAGTTATTTCCTGGTCTGTTTACTGCGGAGCAGTTTAGACGCACGGAAGTCTTAAGATGTTAAGAGCTGCCTTTAAGAATTTAGTTTGAGCTATAAGCAATATCCTAGCCTTCTTCGTTGAGTTACTGAAACTGAAGTTTGATAAATGGTTTTTAACGTAAAAGCAAAATTGTTTACCTAACCCGCCATGTTAAACATCCCTATCCCAAGCGTGATGTATACAACTTCTTTACTTATCGAGTGATGTAAAGTTGAAAAAAACTCACTTGGTGAGGTAATGAAACCCTTTTAAATAGCATTGAATGCTTAACTTAATATATGGAGCCAACGACGTTCAAAGCTAGAAATCAGCTGTGCGCTTGAATTTTATTGTTATTTATTGAAGAATTTTCCTACCTAGCTTTTGTTTGCAAATGAACGTTACTGTTAGAAGATGAGTGAAATGGATAATGAAAAATATTGTTCGTAACCTTCTGTATATTGTCGGGTCAAATAAAATCTTGTACGTTACACGTTACGCAAGAGCGTGTTTACATCACTTCGGTAAATTATGCAACTCGCTTCCGCTCGTTGCACAACATTCACCTGCGTGATGTAAATACGCTCTTACTACACTTGCAAAGTAAATAGCTATTAAGTGGGCGGTTTGCTTTTGGTGGTGTAAAAGAATCAGTTGGACACCGATTTTAAGGGTTCTTGTTATTTGATTAATATTGTCTGGAATAAGATTAATATTTCAAAATTATAAGAAAATAAATTTAAATAATCCATGTATCATTTGTATGAGGCTTTTAATTAATCTCATCTTACCTTGACTGAACAATTACCCTATGTGTTTATTAACTCCATCAAAATAATTATATTTAAAAAACGAAACCAATCAGTTTAATTTGTTTGAACACTAACACATTTTGCAATTTGACTGAAACAAAATATTGATAGAGGAAGATGGATCACTAGGGACGAGACAACATAAATATTTCTTCCCTTGAGAATTAATCGGATCTGGACAAAACTAAGTCCATTCGGAGGTCAGCCACCTCTCTCAGCTTGATCAACTTAGAGATTTTCGTATATTTTTAGGATCCGACGGAACAAACTAAAACTACATGCAAAACTTTGCTTTTACGTATATTTGAAACGTCCAACTTCCATGCATACAACAATAGTAATCTATAAATCTAGGGTTGTGAGAGTATATTATGACTAGCAGTAGATCATTTCAATTCAGTGATTTAGTGAGGGCTTACAGTGGGTGACGATTGTCGTCGGGACCCGGGTTTGTATCCTGCTAAAGCCCGATGCCAGCCAATGGTGGTCCTGATTTCAACTTTAGCTAATAGTCCATCTAATAACTACAAAAACAACTATGTGTTCTAGAGATAATAAAAAGTATCTAGGTAAATAGATCTGTTTCAAAAAAAAATTGAACTATAATTAATATGCTACATAGAAACTGGTCATAGTTTTTTAGGATTTAATACTGTAAAGTTATTGCATTAAAGAGAAAACGCATAATCACCATCCGTTATATAAAACATAATAAATATTTAATAACACATTGCGTGATCAAATCAATTTACTTTACTTCACTTCTGAGGTGTTGCCATCCGGATTGCTTAACAATTATTAATCAAGAGGTTAAATACCTTTTTGCCAACGTAATCCTTGGTAGTCTTATGGATACAGGGTTTGGCCCACTGGTGTAATTATCAAGCTTAGACGTGGTTGTCGCTCCTAGGATGTCGTCAGAAAGTCTTCAAAGCACATAACAAGACAAATAAATAGCTAAAACGAACACAAACATTTTTACATGCGAATAAAACTGTATGGCCATACAACTATCGGAAAGGTTATGGGTCTAGACACCTTTAATGGGTTTTCGGTTAATTGTCACTTTATTTTAGTTTCCAAATTTTTGAAATTATGAAAAAGTGTTCGTATCAATTTTTATTTGCCGGTATCTAGGTTAGTTTGCGTCATCACTTAATCATAATTATTGATATCCTTACCAAGTCCAAAGTAACACTTTTGTCTTTAGCAATAAAATATGAAGGTATTGCCATAGAAGAAGTATTATGCTAGAAAGCCCTTGAATGAGAAGTCTACTTTCTCTTAAAGTGTACAAGTCCCAACAAATCTGTCTAATTGAACTCTTTGGGAATATTTTATTTAAATGCTAAAACTTAAAAAAATATTTCATTAGATGAGTTGAAAATCAAAACACACTTTAACACATAGCTAGCTGTAACTTACCAGAAATACTGCTGATAAAGTTCAACTGAAGAAATATTTTTATCGAGATACAGGGTGTCCAACTTCAACTAAGGCAAACCTTACAAAATTATTCGGGAGGTCAAAACAAGCAAAAACTGCAATCCATCATGCATCTCAAACAGTTTAGCGTCTGTATGTGTGTTTTTAAAAAGAAAATCATAACTCCATAAAATTTTGAGCTACAGCGTTAAAGTTCAGCAAAATTGTTTTATCAACTGGCCAAATCTTTGTGCAAAAGAAGAATAAAATATTGAGAACCGTTTTAAAACAACGGGTTTTAAAAATATTTAAGCCAAATTCCAAGAAAACTGTTAATTTTACGAAAAGATTTCAGTGTACGTAAAGTTATTAAATTGTATGCAGATTTCGTCGATATCTCATAAGCATAGTTTGTACAAATAATAACTGATAAATCAATTGTTTTCTATGTCTACAGTTATCTCCATTTAAAGAATGTTAAATAAATAAGTTCTTCATTGTTTCTCCATATGAATAACATAAGATATTTTAAAACACAGTTATCTGTAACCTTTATTTTTACAAAATGCATTCACACAAAAATTTTTTTAAGCTCTACTCTATAGTTGTAAAGAAAATTGGGGAGAAATTGAAAGAACGCCGATTTTATTTTATTTTATTGCCATGTGCTCATAATTTGATCTTCAAGTTTGACCAGTTCTGCACTTTCGTACCAATTTTTATATTAATTGGACCAAAATTACTATAGTTATTGTGTTTATGAATATACACATGTGCCTCTGGGGAAATTAAAATGGAAAAGATAATCGGTCCTTGGTCCTTCCACAGTAGTTGCTGCCTACGGTACCGTAATAGAAGTTAGCATTCCCTACAAAGAAATTTTCTAAATGGAGGGAATTCCCAAATTATTGAGCAAAACTATGGAAACATCTGGTTTTATAAATTGCATTCAATATTTCCAATAGACTTTTACAACAGTGAAAGGGGCATCGAAAACGACCACTCACTGTGTTTGAAGTCACAGTCAAATACAAATGATTCAAATCAAATAGCGATGTTTACTATGACAAATATGAAACTTGATCAAACATAAAAGTAACGAACGCTTCCATTCACTTTTCGTCAGTATTTTTCAAAAGTGTTGTATTACTTTCATAATGATAATATTTTTTTATTGGTAGAGTTGAATGGTTAAATATTAAATATTTTACGGTTAAATATTATAATAGTAGTTTGTATTATACTATTATTATATTTGTATTACACGATGTTTAATTTTTTGTTAGATCATGATTGCCATATTACTGTTGAATTACTTTCTGAGATTAAATTATTCTTCTAATATAGATAGCATAGTATTTTTATATTAATTTACATTATTTATTGTTTTTGTAACTAGTTACGATAGTATTTCCGATTCACGGACAATATGATAACTTTAGTATCAATATGTACCAAGAATTACTTATGTTAACTAAGTGACCTAAGAATATATGTCTATACATTTAACACATCTTAATATAAGATAATTTCTATTATTATTATTACCGATTAGGTAGGTAAATAATAAGTTTCATTCATAAATAAGCATTTAGTTATATATTTAAACATAAAATAAGAGACTCTATTCTCAGAACTAATGTATCTTACGTTGGCACATAGAATAGTTGTCCATTCGTAGGCATGGCTCATGTTACATGCAGAAATACATGTTAGAATTTGTATACAAATAGGTCAGATACAGGCAAGGTGCATTAAATTTTGCAGTGCTTAAATTGTCATTAAGATGCATTGCGCATAGTTCTTTAAGCTAATTAAATTTACTACTTATTGAGCTTAATAATAAATTACCATTGCATTAAAACATTAATCATTGGGTTCCAAATCACCCTGTGTATAGCATTTTACGACTGTAGCTAGCTTTTTTATACATAAACATATAATTTGTATAAATAAACATATATACTATAAGTTTTACGTATGAGAGCTCTTAAATTCTAGGTCTAGTTGTGTTAAATCAACAACCTTAATTTTTGCGAAAGAAATATATACCTAGTTAAATCAATGTACTAAATTGTGTTACTAATATTATTTTCGATAAAAAACACAGTAAAATTAGAATGTAATTTT